TCCGCAGGCGGCGAGGAGGATGTTTTCCCGACGGCTTCCCCCTCCGCTTCCCCCGGCGGTTCTCCCAAAAATTCCCGGCCGGGATCTCCCCTCCCCACGCCACGGGTGGATCTGCAAGGAGCCGAGCTGTGGAAGCGTTTCCATGAGATTGGGACTGAGATGATCATCACCAAAGCGGGAAGGTAACGGGGGGGAATCACCGGCGGCCACCACCGGTGGTACATCCAAAAACGGGTTTTGGGGGGGTGGTGGGGGGAGGAAAAATCCCTCTCTAGATTTACGAGGCAGGTAGATGGCGATAATTTTTAGCCGGGCACGGCAGAATGTGGGTTTCCTGTTCATTAAGGCGAGGGTCTGGGGAGCGTCGTGTCCTTCTAAAAGGAAAACTTTCCCCCTTTTCCTTTTTCTTTTTTTTCCTTTCTTTTTTTTTTAATTTTTTTTTTTTTTCCCCGTGGATACACATGGCAAAAACCTGGGTAGTATAAAAGTATCCGAACTTATTAGAAATTACAAAAACATATTTTATTGGATCCATATGGTGCCTTCTACGTTTTCAGAGAGGCTTTATTAATGATTGAAACGCAGTCTCGCACAGCACAAAGCAACATTTGTCTTAAAGAGAGTCCAGTCGGGGAATTTCTGTTTTATCTTACAGGTGCACTGAAATAAAAGCGAAAACTAGTTAACCGCAGTCAGGTTTACCCTCCTGCTTATTCAGAAATAACGGAGATGATAGGATTTTTCTTTCCAGTAACGACTTTTAATTGATTTATATATATGTTTTTTTAGAACGGCAGCAAATAGTGAATAAACTGGAATGGCTTTCAGGTTTATAAAACACAGAAAAGTACCTTTCATTAGCTTGCAGTCAGCTCGTCACTAGGACGTTTCCTTTATATTTATTTTTTTTTTTATTCAAGAATGAACTTTTTTGATAAAAGGCATGCCAAACGCGAGCTAAGAAATGCATTTTTTTTTTTAATGTTCAAACCACCGCATTGGTTAATTATGCCTTTTTCTCCGCGGAAGGAGCTAAATCGTGAAAGTGTCTTTTTTCCTTCACTTTATTTCATTTTCTTTTATTTTAGAAATTACCTCCTAGATTCGTTTCTGCTTTCAATAAAGAAGTTTTACTATACCTTTCAAAGCCAGAGTAGCTCTTGCACTTCACCTTTAGTAGGTTGCAGACAGGAAGTCCCGTCTCAATAAAGACCATATTGTTGGGTTACAGCATGGCACGTTGGCTTTTTTATAACTCTGCATCCTTGCCGTGTTATAATTGTGTCACCGTGGATTTAGCTTCCTAATTTGCTGCTGCAGAAAATGAGGCTCCATTTGCTGCTGTCAGTTGGAAGTGAAGTCGCATTTCTGCAAATCTTGGGTCTTCCTGGGTGAAGGTGGCTCTTTGCCCCTCTCCAGAAATACCTTTCTATACAATATCTCCAACGGGTTTTTAATGTGTGTCCGGCTAAAGTGAAATCTCGAACCCAAAATGATTTACTGTCTCACAATAAAGGCGAAATGATGTGGTAATAGCTGTACTCCCCAAGCGTATCCCCAAACATACGAAGCATTGTTCGGGTAAATGCACTTTTAGAAATCTGTTTTGACATATCGAATGGGCCATTTCATGGCTGTGTAACTATAATCGTCCAAAAGGACTCTGTAGGCTAAAAGGAAGAACGAGAAAAATCCCACGAACCGGTTCCTTTTCCTAAACAACCATTCCCGAGTCTGTTTCATATTAAAAAATGACCTCTCTCTTTCCATGTTCAGGCGGATGTTTCCCGCAATGAGAGTGAAGATCTCAGGTTTAGACCCACATCAGCAGTATTATATTGCCATGGATATCGTGCCAGTGGATAACAAAAGATACAGGTATGGTGGCTTTAAGGCAAAAAAACCCCATCCCGTGCAAGCCATAGGGAGCTTGGCTATTGGAAGAAAACATTAACACTATATAAATTAGCTGAAGATCGTGTTTAACTCTCCTTCAGATTCCTATTTTCATCCCAGTGCATTTAGGAAAAAAAAAAAAAAAGCACAAATTGTGCCAAGTATGCAAAACCGACTAAAGTTTCTGTTGAAGCTCTTTATACATTTGCCTGATGTTTTGGGGGCAGATGCTCAGGTTTTGGCTTTCAGAGAGCGCGCTTCTAGTGCGGTCAGGAATTCTTATCGTGTCTTATTCCTCCTCGGTTTTTCCTATTAATAAATTTAGATGAAAATGCACATTTTTCTAGTGCTAAAAGGCGGTAACAATAATAAATAACATTAACAGCATTAACGTCTGATTTAAGGGCATATAAGCTTTCTTGGTCACGCTTCAAATCGATTATCTCATTTAATTTAAAAGCTGTTTATCACTCAGCTGTTTGGTTGCCTACCAAATATCACAAAGGCTAATGTTTCTAATCCCTGCCTTTTTAAAGAATTAATGGCGTTATTGTCTGAAGAATAATGTGAGGAGCAAAAGTAGTTGTTCTTCCAACATTTAAGGGTAGGAATTCTGTGCTGAAAAGCCTGACTTGTTTCCAGGGCAGTTGTGTTTCGAGGGAGGTGGTTGGACTCTGCTGGTCCTGATAGAGGTGTTTGCAGGATCTGGCCCTCAGGAGTTGTCCCTGAGAGCTGTAGATGTTTGGTAGGTCTTGCTTTACAGAGGCCATCCTAGGAACTTGGCCAAGTAGTTCAGTGGAGGCAGGATCAGGTCCTTCTGAATTGCTGGTTTGATTCTTTCAACCCTGTACTTAGCCTAATGCGGGGGAAAACCGCTGCAGATAACAATTGGACAACCAGGAATATTCCAGACTCAGACTAAGAGGTTGGTTCTGCAGGAATGCCACCCCGTTTCCTAAGGAAACACAGCCCTGTGGGGTTTTTTTTTGCGTGTCCTTACCCCATGGACTGCAATTTTGTCCTTTTCTCGTGCGGTGTGTGAGACATTTCTTGGGATTATTTTAAATTCTGTGGTTTTCAACGTGGTGCAGATACCAGGACTGAGGGTGTCCAGCACATCCAGTTAGGGGAGGCTTTTCTGACTGTGTCATAGAGAAAAAATGCTTTTTTTTTCCTTTTGAACCAGTGCAGTGCAGCTCAAGTGAAAGCCCTTTTCGTGCTTTGTGTTGCACGTGTGCATTTACTACAGCAATCTGAGCGTATCATTCCTAGAAGGTCTGAGCAATTCCTTAATTCATAGAAAAAGGCAAGGTAATTATTCCAAATTGAATAAAAATGTTAATACTAAAAACGTTTTTAAAAAAGTTATATCGAATATGAGTTGTTTAATATTTCATTTGAAATACAGCCCTAATGAGCTGCACTGTCTGCCCAGTGTGATACGTGGTGCCCAGATAACTGAAGTAACTTTTAAGAAGTTGCATGAAGGGCATTATTTTCTCAGTTGGCAAACTTAAATTTCTGTAATCATGTACCACGCCTTTAACCTTCCCACCAATTATTAATGTTTCGCATGTTTTCCTTGATTCTGCTTTTCATTCTTTGCTGTGCAATCTATGATTATTATTTTTATTTTTATTTTTTTTATTGCTGACTGCTATTTTAACTTTGGCTGCTCATGTGGCTTTCCAAACTATCTTGCAGATCTTTGCATTTGAAAGACACAGCCTCAGTCACACAGGGAGCCTAGGCTTTAGCTGTCAGAGCAGGCAGCAAAACTAAATGGAAATGAAGGATATTACAGCTAGGTCTAGATTTCTGGCAAAATTAGACCTTGTTGTAAATAACTTGGAAGCTGAAACTGTTGCTCAGCGTATTTTATGTGTGTTTATGACTTTATTTACTTTCACAGGGAAAGCGCGCATTTAGTTTAAACCAACAGATGTAAAATAAATGAAAAATGTTACAACAGTTGACTGTGCCATCTGGGGTTGAGAATTTGTCTCCAGGAGAGGGTTTCACCCCCATTCCAGATCTTAGTTTTACAGCCTGATACGAGTTGCACGGAGCGATGCGTGTATTGGGTCATTTTGTTTTCATTTCCAATTATATTGTTTGTCCTTTTCTAATAAGGAACTGAATTGTACAAACAAATGATTTGATAAAGTTTTCCTTGTTTTTATTAAGAAGTATAGCTGAATTACTAGAATTTTACTGTACTTGAAAAAAACACACCTTGAAGTTTTTAATTGGTGCTTTTAAAATTGCCCTGTGAAGTGTCTGCCTTCAAAATAAGTTTCCTACCAAAGCAGGCACTATTTTTATTAGAAAATTACTTTGTCAGCATTGGCCTATCAAATGAAATATGGGCTGTGTTTTTTCATTTTTAAGCCTTTCTGCAATACTATTCAAGAAAATTAATATGGTCTTGCAGAAATAGCGAGAGCACAGCCTGACATAGTTTCATTATTTTTCCCAATCATAATGTTCTTTCCCTTCAATAGCTTTATTTATAGACTCTTATATTAGACTCAACATGTTAAACCTTCCAAATATGGAATTACTACTCGATTTGATAAATGAGGGACCAGATTCTGCCCTGCCTGCTGGTGCCTGCTCCGAGCGGAGGCTGCAGCGATCGATGAGCGGACACCAGCTTAAAGCTCACCGTGGAGACTGGTGTTAAGGCTGTTAATGATTTTAAGATGACCAAGGTCAGACCAGAGCCTTACTTTTGCAGATATCAGAACTGTGTTTCGAGAGTAAAAAAAAAAAAACCAAAAAAACAAACCACTTTTATTGGTTGTCCTTTCATGTTTTGTTGGCTGGTGGGTTCTTGCTCTACGTATGGGCCCTAATTTATTAATACGGACCGGGTCTGATGAATTATTTGGAGGTTTTGGTGGCTCTAGGTGTTTGCTTTCTTTTTCGTAGGTATGTTTATCACAGCTCCAAGTGGATGGTGGCTGGTAACGCTGACTCCCCGGTGCCTCCACGTGTTTATATTCACCCCGATTCACCCGCCTCCGGGGAGACGTGGATGAGACAAGTGATCAGCTTCGACAAACTGAAGCTCACCAATAACGAGCTGGACGACCAAGGGCATGTGAGTACTCTCTCTTCTGCAGGATTATATGTAGGCACATTGCTCAGCCCCGGGGAGACTCTGACGTACAGCTCCAGGGTGCCAGAAATAGGCTTGACTTTTCAAAGCTGTTTTGGAACTTTACCATCCAGATCTAAAAATCTGCTTACTTTCTGCTCCGATAATTAACTGCTTATTAGAGCCTGCTGTTTTACTCCCCCCTCAAAAACAGAACTCCTCCTGCAAAGTTAGACTTTACAAGGCTAAATTGCCTCATACGAAGGGGCAGAATTGCTCTGGTGTTTTCCCACCGAGTGCGTTACTCGCAACTTCTGCTCCGATCAAACGGGACGCTTTAATTCACAAGTGGCTAGAAGAAACATTAATAGCGTGTAATAACTTCATGTGAATAAAAATACACTTAACTATTTTCTTAACCTAAACATTTGTGTGAAATCCCATGAGGTGTTAATAATTGCAGTCAAAAAAAAAAAAAAAAAAAGCCCGAACAACATGGGAGCTGGGTTTGCTCCGATAATGATTTATTACATACCTTATGAAGCAAGACCCTTTCACAGCTGAGGCTCATTACTTCTGAAAAAACTGGCGAGGACGTATGCAGTACGAGTGTTCTGTTTGCAAGTTCTAAATTGTTTAGTTATGACATTATCTAATGTGACAAAATGTGTTATGTTAATATTTCCTTTTCTCTTCAAAACTGTTGAAACATGACAGATGTAAGCCAGTATCTTTCCAGCAATCCCTAAAATAGTTTTACTTGACACCTTAGGAAATAATTAAAAAAAACGAGATTTGTTTTTAGTCGGGGGGAATTCTTTTAATTTTTGCAGAATCCCGTAATAAATGGCAAATGTTGGCTTCCTTTCAGGAGGAGCATCGGGTTCCAAGTGGTAGAGTTTTAAGATGTTGGAGGCAAGTTTGGAGACAGGATGTGGATTCCATTGTCCTTAGCGTAGCCCCATTTATTAACCAGGATACTTTCCCCTTCGCGGAAGGGAGGGAAAGAAAAGGTACCTGGCAGAGAGTGCAAAGATATTATGTGTGTCTTTCAGTGTAGTAACCCTGTGACATTAAGCTGGGTATTTTGTCAAAACATAATCCAAGTTTAGGTATGAGATTTTTTTTTTTTCCTCCGTTTGTGTTTGCAAAGGAGATTAACTTGAGACTCTGGTGAAACGGTGCAGAAGTTACAACTTTTATGTTACTGAGGCAAAAAAGAGCCTCCCTTTCTTATAACACCCTTCATAATTTTATTGGGTTTTTCCTTCAGAAGAACGTGGGGGTATTCCCCTCTCCTGGGTTAGCAGTGATTTTCTTCAGGGCTCGTAAGAAAGATGTTTGACATCTCTTCTTTCCAGAGTTACAGTGATGGGATCTCATCTGGCCATGTCCATCTCAGTGAAGGTTCTCACACTCGGTTCCCTTCTTTTTTTTCCCCTTCTTGAGTGGGAGTCACTTTCTCTGAGTCCTGACTCTCTTGGCAGGGCTAAAAAAAGCGAAGTGGGTGCGAATGGCTGAAATGTGGTTTTTCCAAGGGCGAGCAGGCTGGATTTTGTACTCCCTCTTTTCGGAGGGGTGATACCTGGGCACCATGGTCCACCCGTGCACTTTGCAGTCCCGAACTGCCATAAAATCTCAGCTAGGCAGAGAATGGTATTGCTGTGTTTTTTTCCGTCCCAGATCTCAGCTTTGTTTTTATTCTGAACCGCAACCTGTGTAGTGTACACAGCACACCATTATTCATAATGCGGGGGGGATATAAATTTTCTGGTCTTTAGTTAAGCGTTTCGATTTGGAAACTGGTGAAGCAAAGCCCTTGCGCAGCGATTTGAGACACATTGAACTGATTCCGAGCTACGGCAGCGCCCCTCCTCCCCAAAATGGAAATTTAAGTATTAAAATAAAAGGACAAAAGAAGGATGACTGTAAAATAATTTCATATTTCTCAAATCTGGGAAATTGCAAACATGTCATTCATAATTACCAGAAAAGGCAAAAGCAGAAAGCAGAAAAGTGTCTCTTCCAATGGGTACATTTTTTCTTTTAAAGCTATGGTAGTGTGGAATGCTGTATTGAAAAAGCTATGTAGCCTCTGAATGCCTCCAGCAATAATGGAAAACGAATAATCATATTTTGTGATGAATATAAAAAACAATTGTTTCTCATAAGCAGGAAGGAACCATTTTTCTCAAGAGGGTACCAGGGGAGGGATGGGGGATCAGAAGAGCTAGGGGTCAAGGCTGGACTGTCCCTCGAATACTTGCTTTTACGTCGTGTGTTCTGACTCTCCCACCCCTCTTGGGAGATGAGGTATATTTTAGATTATTAGAAAGTTGGGTTTTTTTCCCCTCCTGCTTAGGCAGAAGGGCTGAGAGAAACCTCAGTAGGGTCTCTACACTCTGTTATCATTCCTCCAGTAGTAGCTCAAGCAGTGTTGGGCTTTAGCTGTTGTTCTTGGGGTGTGCTTTCTGTGCTGCCTGGTTCTGGGGCTTTAAGCTTTGTCAAAATTGTTCCTTTATTCTAACTGTGCCCCTCAGAGGAACCGGCTTTTGTGGAGTTTTTGTGTTTGGAATCCCAGGGTAGGTTTTGATCTTGCAGGCGTTGAGGTAGGGAGCCCACACAAGATCAACCCAGGACCCTCATATCCATTCTAGAGTATTACCTGTTGGAATGAGTGAGAAAAGTGACCCATGTCCATGGGAATGGGAGCAGGATTTGCAAACAGGTAGTGTTCCTCTGCAGTATTTTGGTTGTGGCAGTAGCTGATGGCAACCAGCTCCCCTTGCATCCCGTTGGCCTGGGATTAGCTCCTTGTGAGAGGAGATCAGCCACCTCCGAGATGACTTTATTTGCTGCCCAAAGGCTTTCCAGCAGCTCCTCGCTTGCCTGCTGCTAGGTTCATCAGTGTTTTGAGTGGGAGTTTGTGAGGATGGAATTCTGTAGCACTGTTCTGCGGGGAGATTTTTGAAGTACCTCTGCACGTAGGACACTCTTTGACACGCAGGGTTCCACTCGTAGGCTGAGGAGATCAAGCAAAAATTGTAAGGATATATTTTTGACCTCAAAAGGGGGTCCCAGGGTGAATTTCCTACGTTGGGAAGACTGTGAGCTTGTAGAAGTGTTAAGACCCTTAAGACACATACTGTGGTGTTTGTGTCCTTCATCTGGGCTGCGATGGGAAGGAAAAGCAAACCTGCATTTTGCAGTTAACATTGATTTGTTAATGCCTCTGGTCCCTCTCTCCTCCGTGGAGCGAGTGCTGCGTTGTCGAAGCAGCCTCTCCCTCCAGCTGGTTAGAGCTGGCTGATTTTCCTCTGTTAATGCAGTTTTTAATCCGAATTTCAGTAGAGGGGGGAAAAGTCAATATTTTTGATGCTATTTTCCATGCTTTTCAACTGAGCATTTTTTGATGCGGAGAAACATCTTTTAACTTTTAGTGAAAATGAGGCTGTTAGTGTGTTAATTGTTCCTTGGTGGTTGGTATTTTTATTTTTTTTTTTTTTCTTTTTCCCCATTTGAAAGCAGGGTGAGGCTGGAAGCAGAGGCGGGCTGTTACTCTGCCCAGACTTGGCTCCGAGTGACAAGCTCTGCTTACAGTCAATGGGTAGTTATATGTTCCTGTGACAATGAAAAGCTGGGAAACATCAGCATTTGCACTTGCAGTTTTTGTCCTTATGGAGAGGGAATCCGTGCTCCTTGGCCCCACACGCTTCTCTGACTCTAGAAAGCCTGAATGCACAGGACAGAGAGGATGAAAGAGGATTTTTTGGTGAAAAACGGCATCAAAGTGAGCACCCATCGAGGTGGAGAGGTGGTCGTGTGATCTGTGCACCGCCGAGCTCCTGGGGATCAACATCTCCTCCAGGAAAGAGGGTCAGGCTCTGGCTTGTGCTGGCTGGGATGGCTGTGCCACAGAGGTTCCCGAGCTCAGAGTCACCTCTGGGTCCTCATTGCAGGGGTCCCGAGCTCAGAGTCACCTCTGGGTCCTCATTGCAGGGGTCCCGAGCTCAGAGTCACCTCTGGGTCCTCATTGCAGCAGCGTCTCTCCAAAGCCCTAATCCCGAAGGTGACCCCGGGTTCGGGTGTCTGCGGGTGCCTTGGCCACCTCTGCTCTCCCAGCCTTGTCCCGTTGCTGCCTCTTCTGTCTGACAATCATGTCTTGACAGCTGCTGCGGCCAAAGTGGAATTTTACATTTGTCAGGAGAAGTTTGTTCCCCCCAAAAGTGCGTTTTTTTGGTCGGGTGTCCTGTGAGGGATTTGTAGAGAGCGACAAGCTTCTCAAGTGTGGGTTGAAAGCCATGCCAGCTCGTGCTCGGCATTTGGTGGGGTTTGGTCTGGTTGGGTTTTTTTTTGTTGTTGGCTTTTAAGGCTAGGAAGGGAAAGCTGCTGGTTCTGCAGATAAACTGTTAGATCCCATTTGTGCTGCTGAATGTGCAAGCAACGTGAAATGAAAAGCAGAATCTCATTTTCCTTAGCTTTTTCATCACAGTAACTTCAGGTGATGCTTAGAATAACGGCGCTACTGGGTTTTCAGAGTGGCCATTGCATCTCCCTCTCCTTTTATGTCCTATCTCCATAGCGTTGCTCTTTAATTCACTGGGGCTCTACAGTTATGTATTGTTTATTCAGAATTTGGGGTCCTGATCATTAACAAAGATCCTACGGCATGGTACAAAATCAAGAAAAAAACAACGCACCCTGCTATGGATTTGCTAATTATCTAATGGTGTGTCAGGGATGGAAACTTCAGGATAGCACAGAGCCAAGCCAGGCAGAAACTTCAGGATAGCACGGAGCCAAGCCAGGTTGCTCTTAAGAGATGCCAAGGATGCATTTAGCTGTAATAGCCACCCAGATGAGGAGTGGGAGATGGTGATCTCCATCCTGCCGTGACTTCACTTGTCCGGGTACATGAGCAGAGATGTTCTGGGTTGTCATTGCATGTAGGCAAGTGGTAGTTTGCGTCTCAGAGGTGATGGGGTGAAGTAGTAGGGGTGGGAACAGAACGTGGCACGCTCAGTGGCACCCAGGCAAGCGGCACGGCACCGAGTAGCGACGGGATTGAGCAGTGGAACAGAGATGTCCTTGATAATTTTTTTTCTTTATCCTATTGCACCGGTATCTCCCCTGGTATCGCAGGGTGTTCACAGGAAAACAGGGTCAGGAATGTGCTGTCCTCTCTGCATTTTCATTTCGTGCATCTTTGCCAGCAGAGAACTGAAAGGAGCGTTGTAAAAGAAGAATACACATTTGCAAGATCTCAGGAACTTGGGGAGGGAAAGGCTTCATATGAGGACATCCATAGGGCACTCCCTAAGCAAATTAATTGGAGCCTGTGATGTCATCATCAAAACCTTACTCGCAGGCTAATAAAACCCCTGATTATCCAGAAACTTGGCTTATCCGAGACAAAGTCATGTCATCTGGCCAGGACCAAGCCCATTAAACTAGCCAAAGTCGAGCTTATCCAAATGAATGTAATGTCCTCTATGTCATTTGGATGAATGAACTTCCCCGGTGTCTGGCATCGGGGCTCTGCCGAGCGCCTCAGCCCATGCACGTTCCGAGGCTGCTCAAGGAGCAGGAAATTAAAAAGCTTCCCCTCAACGTTGATTAGGGGTTCCGCAGGCCAACAGCCATAGGACTATTTATTTATTGAGTTGCTAATTTCTTAGGCCTTCCAACAATAATAGTTGAGCTTCCAATTATTTTTATTTTACTTGAAATCTTCTGGTTTAGTAGCGGTTAGCTGAAATGGAGTAAAATGGAGGGAAAGATTCTGTATTTTAGATCTCCTCTAAAACTCGGGAACTATACAAAAAGGTATTTTCTTGTTTAATTTTATGCACTATGAGTTCATATACTTCTCACGTTATGCTTAATCAAACTTTTGTATCCTGGGAGGGGTTTGTGTATGGGTTGTATTGTGTGTATGTAAATCTAGGGTTATTAAAACTTTAGAGTTTGGGATTTTGGTAGTATTTTACTCTGAAGTTTCTGCTTCTTCAGAGTGTGAGAATCCTAGCTTGTGTTCAAAACAAGAGATATGTTTCCAGCCTTTGGGATATCAGGAAGAAAATTGCTCCAAGCATATTCTGAAGGTTCCAAAAACAAAAGGCAAATGCTGCTGCTATTAATCTTGTTAGATCAAATCCAGGCCCCAGTGGAAAAAAGGGACAAAACTTTCCTAATTCCAGTGGGACCAGGACTTCACTCCTGATTTTTTTTTTTAATTTTCTTTTTTTTTTGGAGCCAGTCTCAATTGAGCCAGTCTCTGAATTTGGAGCTCCTGAGTCGTAATTTTTAAATGCTTAGGGTTGGCAATAACATAAATGCACAGGGATTAGACTACTGTAATAAGAACCTTCAGAGGTTAAAGAAAACATTTGATTTCCAGTAAGTGGCATGGTAAACACATGCCATAATCTGTTCCAAAAAGCTATTAGTCCTGAAACAGCAGGGTGTCCTTTCTAATAAATGTTATCTTTTTCCTTTCACGACTGCGTAGATTATCCTTCACTCGATGCATAAATACCAGCCCCGTGTCCACGTCATCCGAAAAGACTGTGGAGATGATCTGTCCCCTGTCAAGCCCATCCCTTCTGGAGAAGGGGTGAAAGCCTTCTCCTTTCCAGAGACAGTTTTCACTACTGTCACAGCGTACCAAAATCAACAGGTAACCTGGGATTCCTGCTTAGAGCACTTTACAGGCTTTTCAGACTAATCGGGGAAGGAGGAGATTGGAGAAAAGTGAAAACTTTTATTACCCCACTTACGATTAATAAGCATTTTCGTGTGACAAATGGCTTTTACTAATGGTATTGCAGCTTGGGGGATATAGCTGAGACTTCAGGCCAGGTGGACTAGATGCTGCATGTAAAAAGCCATTCTTATTATGGAGATCACACAGTCTAATTAGCACAGTTAATGGTGTCTTAATTGTAAATGCAGCATTGGAGCACAAGACAGAGAGCAGTCTAATTTTTGAAGCTAGTTTTGTGCCTTTTAAGTGTAGGTACGTATCTGGATAGAATTTTTAAAGCATTTTTGGTCCTGACTCCGGTGATTTCAAGACTCCCAGGACCTTAACAGAGAAGCTGAGGTCAGAAGAAAGTTGCAGTCACTTTCATTAACAGCATTCAATGTATATTATTAACTGCAATTTATCTGGGTCAAAGTCAAAAGTAAGCTGCAGGTTGTGTGACTCCAGTGTTTGGCCCTTATTACCACTTGTTTAAGTATTAAACATAGTGACACCATAGTTAGTGTTGTGTTGTGATATTTTATTAACTCCACATAAGTTTTTACAGCTTTATTTTGGGAAATTATATATGCCTTGATGTCTTTACAAAGGGAAGAGCGGGAGAGCCATGTAAATACTGAAATATAATTAATTGGTGCCTACCCCACTGATTTAAATAAATTACAAGTATTTTGGGGGAGGTTTGCTGTTTTTTACTTCGGGTAATAGCCTAGGGATAATCTCTCTTTTCACATTTCCTTCTTGACCCGTACAGAAATAAAATTTAATTTAAATTTTATTGCGGTTGGGCAGTGTACTCTCTTAGGTGAAGAATGACATTTGCCAGAAGATTTTTCTCAAGAATTCCAACCTGCCATTTGGTAGCATTAAATACCTATTAGCTTCTCTGGGGATTTGCAAACGTAATGATCAGAAGGCTGTCCCTTATTTTGCTGCGTTTCGGGACAACTGTCTTACACCACGCAAATATGAAGATGTTTCTACTCCACCCTTGGCTTAATTCTGTCAGGATAGCTATTTTTGGTGTCACTCAGCTGAGTTTGCACGTAGTAATTTCTTTAACCATTTTGACAGATAACTCGTCTGAAGATCGATAGGAATCCGTTTGCCAAAGGGTTCAGAGATTCAGGACGTAACAGGTAGGTGCTGGGGAAGGAGCTGGGCTCGTTACTGCCGGCAAGAATGGGTTTGTGATGGCTGGTAGAGGGGAACAGCTGTGTTTACGGACAAATTAGCCTGGGGACTCGGGCTCCCTGAGGGAACACTGAGTTTTCCCAGTAAAGTTCTCTGTGACGGGCTCCCGTTGTTCCTGCTCCTCTGACCATCGTGGTCAAGAGCGGGTTGGCACAGGGTTTGATGCGGGTGCTCGAGTTTCCTTTTGGTGGAGGCAGTGGGACACCATGAGGGCTGCAAATGGCGTTAATGCAAACTCAGGTCTGTGATTTCAGGCTGCTCCTGAAGTCTCCTCTTTCTCCTGGCCCGTGACACAAATTGCAGATACCAGTGCCAAACTCTAAGCCCCAGCTTTCTTGCACTTAAGTGGCATTGAGCATGGATGAACGGCTCATTTTTACCTAAAGGAGGAAAAACTAAGTCCCCTCCTGCAGTAACCTTATGTTTAGCCCACTTGCCTAAGGGGTGGGAGAGCTGTGTTGAAGTGTCTCTTTAGCCTAAGGAGTTTTAAATCTGCTTCCTAGATGAATGCTTTTCCTACAAGGCTACAGATGACCTTGAAACGAGCCTGGTTTCCACCTCCTCTTGTTGCGGTTGGGCTGATTAATTGCTTGTTCTCTCTTGATCCATGAATCTTTCAAAATAGCAATGGGGAATCTGAGTAGCGCAAAGTGGAGGCTTGGGTCTCGTCCCTGCCGCCAGCACTGATGAGGCATTTTATCCAAAGCCTGTTTAATGTGAAATACTTAAGCCTGTTATGAATTGTATGTTAAACCATTTCAGCTAAAAAAAGCAGCGTTTAATTGTGGCGCATAGTACACATCAGTTCCAGTGACCACATTGCGTTTGGTGTCTACAGCTGCTATATTTATGACCCAGCCTTTCAGGGAAGGGAGCAGCCTGTGCTGGTGGGAATGTACACGGAGTATCTTCTGGGAGCTGCTTTACTGGGCTGCTCTTTTAAAATGGAGGGGAACAGATTTAGATTGGAGATGAGGAGAGGGTTCTTCACTGTGAGGGTGGTGGAGCACTGGAACAGGTTGCCCAGGGAGGTGGTTGAGGCCCCTTCCCTGGAGATATTCAAGGTGAGGCTCAACGAGGCCCTGGGCAACCTGGTCTAGTTGGGGGTGTCCCTGCTGACTGCGGGGAGGTCGGACTAGATGACCTTTGGAGGTCCCTTCCAGCCTGGACAACTCTATGACTCTATGACTCTTCTAGCAGAGGATACAGCATTAAAGCCTCCACCTGAGTTACAGAAATGCTGAGACCAGGCAGCCAACGAGAGTAGATTTTTAGACAATGAACAAGTTATGGCAGGGGTTGGGGGGGTTGTAAAGATTCACAGGAATTAACTCCGAGCATCTTTTCAGTTGGCGCTCTGCATTTTCTGCTCTCTTAAGACTTTTGTCTTCTAAGCAAGAAACAGTTGGCCAAGCTCTGTCCTGGGGCCTGGAAGGGGCGCCACAAGCGCCGGCATAAATAGGGGTTTGTCCTCCTTTGTGGCCTTCCAGTTTGGAATTTAAGGGAGCAGGGACTTCCAGACAACTGCAGTGACTGAAGAAGCAGAAGGTGCCTGGGGAAGGGAAGGGTGTGTGTAGGTGCCCTGTGTGACAGCTCTCCGAAGGCAGTGTCTCCGCCGGGCGTGCTTTGTGCAGAGCTGGAAAATAAGTACTAAGGAGAGAAGTGTGAAACCTTGACTCCTCTGAAATCCTTGATTTTAAGTGAGGTTTGAATTTCTTCCGTAATATTCTACAGAACAAAGGAAAACGCCCTTGAAAACAGAGAGAAAAGGATCATTTGGAAGCCATTTTTTTAAGGGGATTTAAGTTGGTGGGACAGCCCTGGTGTTACCCGAGGAGGATGTAGGTGCAGCAAGAGCACTGCAAACCCAGCTGTAGGACTGGGTCTATTCAGAGTGGTTTTTTGGTTTGGCTTAATAAAGAATTTAGGAGTAAGTTTGTTTCGGGCATTAGGAAAAAAAGCAGGATACTTGAATTTGAAAGGCAGTTGTAGTTTACAGAAATGCATTAGGAGGCCTCTGTATAAATGTTTCGGAACTGGCTTTACATGAGGTCTGAATGATTTTGCCATAGTGTTTCTTGTTACAGAAACGATTCTGCAAACTCGTCCATTGCGAATTGATGTTGGTTTACTGAAGTCAGAGAATGTTGTTTTCTTTGGTAGGCTGTGTGGTACTGAATACATGTGTTTGGGAATGCAGCTCAGATTTTAAATTGTCGAGAAAAAATTCCTTTTTTTAATTCGAATTGCTGGTCTACTCAGTTGATCATTATTTTACTCCCTTGCTGAACATTGAATTTAATTGTTAAGACTTGGGTATCTTTATTGTTCTAGCTAGCGTACTTCTAAAATAGACATTTTAGTCTGCAAAAAAAACAAACAAACCATTGTGGTAGCACTATATCCGACTTTTCACTGCTGCTTTAATTATTGCAGCTATCTTACTATGCACTGCTGCATGCAGTAATCCTGTTTAATTAAATATGGTCCCTTTCAGGTCATTCCCGTTCAGTCCCACAGGCTATTTTACAGAAATCAGTAGCTTCACCTTTTAAAAGCATTCCCTGTGCATTTGCAAAGTGCAACAGAATTTATGTGCTGAGAATAGTTTCATTCTTCAGTTCGGCCTTAAGTTTGACCCTATAAAAACTTTTACTCAGGAAAGGACCAGAATTTCTCCCTTTAAATACTTCAGGAAAAACATAACTGTTTTGTTAAATAAACTTGGCCATTTGATAGCGTAAATTAGGGTGGTGATAAAATGTGGAAATTGTTCGAAGGCATCTTGTATAAATTATCGCCTCGGCTACACTCCTCCAGGAGGTGGCTTTTATCTCCCTTTTAACTAGAAATGAAAATTCACCATTACTGCAGAAAATGAAGGCTATCTTTTTAGTCCAGGTTGAGCTAATAAATACTTTATTTCCTGAAATACATTTGTGATCCTGCTAGAAATGCAACGGGGAAGAAGCAGTATTGGAAGAACGTGTTGGTAGCTTCAAACTGGACTATTTGCATAATTTCAGTTTAGGGAGCAGTGCTGCCCAAAGGCAAGTGCTTGTATTTGGTGTGTGCCTGATGCTGACACTTAACAGGCCTTTGGGGCCCAGCGCTCCAAAATAACAGCAAAATTATACCTCTGAGGTACATTATTTGTAAAATTCTGCCAGAAAACAAATGAGCCTTTACCTTCAGGAAAGAGAGATTCTTCTAAATGCTGTCTGCCACGGTTGTCTACCCGGTCATTTCTGTTTTGTCACGGCACTGTGTAGAGAAAATGACAGAATATTTTTAGTTTCTGAAGGCATTTTGCTCAGCATATAACCAAGACACAACACTGCTTTATATATGTTAGTAACAAAAGAGCTGTATTTTCCACCTCTTTGGTAATGACTGGGAATCCTGTTTTAACAGAAATTGTCAGTGGATCAGTTAGAGCAGTTGCTGTTAAGGAAATGTTGTACTAGGAAAACATTTAATGACATTTTAGTCGAGTCCACACCTGACCCCCAAGCTCCAAAAAAGCCAAAAATTGAAATAGAATGCCAGACTTGTGGAACTGGGAAACTCTTTGCCTGCTGCCAGCCCGGTGACTGCAGATCACAGTCTGGTCTCATGGATGAGGACACAAGGCTCTTTCATAAAGAGCAAAATCAACTTCAAAATAATCCTGAAATATTAGTGATTTCTATATATTTTTTTTTTTTTGAGAGAGAAATGTGACAAAATACAGCCTGCTTTCATCATGCTGTGTTGGTTTTGTTCTAAATAGAATGGGACTGGAAGCTCTGGTAGAGTCTTATGCCTTCTGGAGACCTTCGCTGAGGACACTTACATTTGAAGATATACCCGGGATACCCAAACAAGGTAATGATCGTCTTTTGTGTTCTTTCAAAACAAAAATGCATGAAGATAAATCTTTGCACATCATTCTTTGCAAAAATCTAGGTGAGTGTGTCACTTGCAGAGGAAAAAGCATCCAACCAACCCCAGTGCAGACCGTCACCTCTCATCAGAGTTATTCTGTTAGAAAACGAATGCTGAGTTAATCTCTGTGGCAGTAAAAATGTTAGATGGTAAAGATAAATCAGATCTCATGTGGAAAAAGACGCCAGTTATTTAAGAATGGAATAACCTATTCTTAGTGTTATACTCTGGTGAGATACATGAGGCAGAGATAGTTTATAGGTGACTTCTGTTGTACACATCCAAACTCTGATGTAGAAATTACTTGTGTGTTTAAAAGAAGAAAAAGGAATGAGAGAAGAAATGTCCTCTAAGAAATTAATCAACAGTGACAAGCTTAATTGGGTTTCTGCCTTGGAAAGCCTCCTTGATTCTTAAGGATGTAAAAATTGTTCGTTAAAAGTCCCAACAAATTTTATCTGCATCCTAGAGCTTGAAAAAGTGGAATTCCTCTCCATTTTGCTTTTTCCTGCTCCCCAGCCTGTAACATCTTGGCTCCCACTTTCACCATCATACATGTGGGGGAGGGAAGGGTATTTAATGGCCTGTTTTGACAGAAAGGGGTGTCTCAATACTTTTTTTCTAATTTCCTTTATTTCCAAAACATCCCTTGGCATACAGAAAACCTCTCAGCTCCAAATGAATCAGACATTTTGGTCCTGATTCTTCACAATTCCTGCTTTCGTGGTAATATATTCCAGAGTCATTAAGGATCTTCAGACCAAAACTCCAGAAGATATGGAAATACACAGAAATAACTTTTATCAACTTTTCCTTAGCCCAGTCCTTTGAGAAATCTTGAGGATCAATCTCTGATGTGGGCAACTAAGAAGGAGTTTTTGTGCCAGGTCACAGAGAAGTTGGATGAGGGCTTGCAAAGTTTTGGGTGGAGGATGGGAGTGGGAGATGGTCCTGAAAGAAAAAGTGTGTAATTAGAAACCAAGATCAGACCTGAAACAGTTTGTCAGACTGTAGGAGACTGACTGTTTGCATATATTGCACTGTTTGAGAGCAGGGGAACTGCTGCCATGAACTTCCCCCTTCCTTTTCTGCTTGTTGCCTGAGGTTAAGGACCTTGTTGATGTTCAGAGGATGGGATTTGGCCTCCTTGCATTCCTTCATCCTTCAGTCATCTACACCTTGGACAGCAGGGTAGTTTAGACACTTGCTGAAAGACCCCCATTAGATATTTGTCCTTGTTGTTAGTGCTGGAAGTGCCCATCTTCAGATAGCGGAGGTGTTGATGTAGATTGGAAGAAAAATAAGTATGCCTTACACCAGGATTTCTGGAATGTGGCTGTATCTCATGGTGCTTTGTGCCTGTTGTGGCCTGTCAACAGAGCAAGAAGAAGCAGGCAGAGATCACTGATACTGTGTTTTTCTTTTTACTAGCCCACCTATCATGGAAACCTGTGAAGTTATTGACAGCGTGTATTTCTTTGCAGCATCAAGCTGTTTGATAGTTAATGTGATTCATAAACAGGAGAGTCCCTCTGTGCTAAGTGCCTTCTGCTTGGGAGACTGTGAAAGGCCCAGATAAATTCTTCTACGCTCATTTTTTTGGGGGGGGAGATATAATCTCTAAGAAAAGGAAGTGTTTCTTACAGTTGGGAAACTTTCAGTCCTGAGAAAAGGCTTCACCTGTAACACGAGGCGCGTTCTCAGGACCATTCAGCTCTGGTATTTGTCATGTAAAAAGTTCTGATATCAGTAAATGAACAGTTTGCTGCCAACCTAAACCTCCGCCTACCCATTCAAGAAATGAAGCAGCCGTGCACGGTATTCAGCCCACACTTTTCCTGAAGTTGCTCTGAAGTTTTGTTCTCGACTTTTTTGATTTAAGTTGGAAGTTTTTTCTTCTGAAGTTGTGAACTTCCCTGAACCCATTGAACTGTGGGAGCCTCTACCATTTCAGCTAAGGAGCTGGTTGAAACCCACCCTGGGGTGTAGCAACAGCAGAGACACTACAGAATTCATAATTTTGAAGGAGGGTTCCAGTGATGTGGCACCTGCCTGGCTACCTCAGCTGCCAGGCAGCTTGATTCTCATGTCAAACAAAGAGTAGTTAACTTTTTGGGCAGGAGCTCTAGGTATTGAGTGATGGGTGCAAAAGCATAGCTTACATTGTCTTTCTTGGACAGGTATTTTCTTTAAAAATACACGTCACACATGCACACTCTCACCTGCACGTGTATGTAGATGTCATTTTTCGAATTTGCATTGTGTTTCGTGTCAAGGGTTATCATAAAAGAAGGAGGTCACAGAATTTTTGACTTGCTTGTTCCCCTGGGAGGTGAACCTTTCCCAACATGCCTCTTACACTGTAATATTCTCTTGCAGGAAACGCGGGTTCCTCTTCTTTACTCCAGGGATCTGGCAGTGGAGTGCCATCTACCCACCCTCACCTTTTACCGGGCTCCCCTTGCTCATCTCCAGCCTTCCACCTCAGCCCCAACACCAGCCAGCTCTGTAGCCTTGCTCCAGCTGACTACACAGCTTGTGCCCGCTCAGGCTTGACCCTGAACAGATACAGCACTTCTTTGGCTGAAACCTACAACCGGCTCACAAACCAAACCAGTGAGACCTTTGCACCCCCGAGGACTCCCTCCTACGTCGGTGTGTCCAGTAGCACCACCGTGAATATGTCCATGAGTGGCAACGACGGGGATGCCTTCAGCTGCCCACAGACTGGCTTATCCATGCAGATTTCAGGGATGTCTCCACAGCTCCAGTACATCATGCCGTCCCCATCCAGCAACGCCTTCACCACTAACCAAACCCACCAGGGCTCCTACAACACGTTTAGACTGCACAGCCCCTGCGCGCTCTATGGATATAACTTTTCCACGTCCCCTAAACTGGCTGCCAGTCCTGAGAAAATCGTTTCTTCCCAAGGAAGTTTCTTGGGGTCCTCGCCAAGTGGAACCATGACGGATCGGCAGATGTTGCCCCCCGTGGAAGGAGTGCACTTACTTAGCAGCGGGGGGCAGCAGAATTTCTTTGACTCTAGGACCCTAGGAAGCTTAACACTCTCGTCTTCTCAAGTGTCTGCACATATGGTTTGATGAAGCCTTTAAGTAAAAGTACAGTATGTTTGGTGTCTACAATGTATTTCTTTTTGGAATATGAAAGGACACTCGATGTAGCTTGTAAAGTGTGTGTGTATATATAATATGAGAGGAAGTTTCACTGAATTTTTGACTTGCTTGTGGCCAGATTATTCTCCTATTTTGAGTTAGGCAGAGTTTGTTGCGGCGCAGACTGCTTTAGTTTTCTGGTATAATACACTTAGTTGTATAACACGTTGGGACATATGCAACAAATTAAGTAAGACTTCCTCCCCTTTCCCCCTCCTCTGCTCTAACCCCTTTAAAGAATGAAATGACACTTGGAGTATTAAACAACACAAACAAGCCCACTTACATTTCCTATGGCACTAGTGAGTTTCTTTAAAACATTCATACAGTGATAAGCTGATGCACCAAAGGCATTTTACAAGTTTCTTCTCTGTTATAAGGGATATGAAGGGTATTTGGACTTTTAAGTGTTAAGCATCAAGCATCCAGCCTAAAATAGAAGTTTAGCTAATGGATTATTTACAAAGTAAACAGAAAGATTAGTTTGCCTTCTCATGATATGCTGTTTTTAGCTTATCAACGGCACAGCATTCTTACTAGGATTTTTTTTTTTCAGCATTAGTCTAGATTTATGTTTAGGTATTTGAAGACAAATAATGCATATTCAAATAGTGGTGATAGGGGTAATTTAAACCAACAGCAGAAGAAGAGGCATTCCTTGGTACGGAATGAACTTAGGGGTGCTTCATTTTTGTCAAAGAAAGGGCTTGATGCATTTTTTTCCTCCATAAATATTGCCTATAAGACATTTACTGAACAGTAGGATATTCTAATGTATCTTTTTTTTTTGTATTTTTACTTTTTTAAAGGAAAATGCAGGTTTGATTTAGGGAAAAAAAAAGCAAGCAGGATGAAAAATTCCATTATTGGCTTTACCCTTTCATGTGTGTGTTGTGTGTTGTGTTTTGGGTTTGGTTTTTGTTGTTTGTTTTTTTGGATTTTTTGTTTGTTTGTTTGTTTTTTCTTTTAATAAGGGCAAAAAGTCCTCCATCCTCAGTATCTCATAAAAACATTGCCTGTAGCAATTAGGCAGATGGCCCAGTTTGCCCACAAGTGCTGGAAGCAGAACTTTCGTAGCTGCCTCCCTGTAACATGGCCAAAATGGGACCAGGATTACAATAGGCAAAATTCCTTTAATAGTTTACTTTGAACGCTCCAGCATGACACCTACAGCCTACATCCCTCCCTCCAGGGAACCATCTGTCTTCCTCTTACTCTTTTCTGTCATGGGGTTACCACTGCTCTGTTTCTTAGTCAGTTTTTGTCCTGGAATTGAAGAGTTTCCCTTCCTTCTTTCCCAGCTCTGGTTTTGACTGGCGCTTGTAAGAACACAGATCACAACCTGCTCCCGACCAGGCTTCTCCAGAGTGACAAGGACACGGAGAGGTGGTTTGTCCTGGCAAAGTTTCATCCACACCTGCACAGCCCCCGTGCCCATCAGTCCTGCTGCGAAAGCTGCCTCTCAGCTGCCAGCCCTTCAGAGCTGGGGGCTCAGATTTTAGAGAACAGATTTTAGTGCTTGAGAGAATGGGTCGTCTTCAACAGTATGCTAAGCCTCCTTCCTATTGTGCAGGTGATGAAAAGGCGTTTTGAAGCGGGTACAATGTAGCTGAAAATACTCCAATGCTGGCCAGCATTGAAGGAGAATAAGACCTTTCAGATTTCACATTTTTCTCTGTTGGATTTTTTTTGGTGAAGGTGGATAGTTGTGTTTCTCAAGAGTTGCTACGTCTTTTCTGGCAAACAGGGGACTTAAATGCTCCCACTTCAAGACAGACTCGTTGCAGCTGGTATTTCTTCAGAGGCTTGGAGATAATGCATGAAGAAATTGCCCTCTCACTATCTCTTTTATTATTTATGAATAGAAGAGAAACCACAGCAGTCTTTAAGCCCATGCCTGGAGAAAGGTTTATTTCTATCAGTTACATATTTTTTTATGTTGAAGAATACACTTAGAAAGTTCTCATTCAAAGCTGGAAAGATAAGACGATGAGCCTGCAGTTGAGGAGATGTGGGTTTGCTTCTTTGCTGTCACAAACTTCCCAAGTGACCTTGGGCAATTCGCTCAGCCTTTCTATATATTTTTTTTTTTTCTTCTTCTTTTTTTTTTTTCCTTCTGTAAAGTGTGATTATAGCACGTCTCTGCCTCACAGTAAATGCTGACAGTACATTGAAGTACCTCCACTGTACTGTGGACAGTGCATCACAGATGCATGGCTAGGTAGTGCTCATACATGAGGGTAACGAAGAGCATCCACGTACGTCAGGTCTGTCGGTAGTTTTGGCGTTGCAGTGTCCTTTGAGGCAGACCTTGTAGCAAAGACCTGAGATGCCAAAAACACTGTTCTAAAACCTCACACTAAGAATTTGTGGAACGGTTCTAAGACACACAGAAGATGGGCACATATTTGGTTATGTGAATTGTCATAGCTCTGCTGGTTTAAATTAACTTGTGTATAGTAATTTCTGCTCTAGCCAAAACTTTGAAATCTTGCAGTTGGACAAATCTTTAAATGGGAAGAATGATATAATTACTTTGTATTTGAAAAAAGCTAAGGATAATTATCCACGTCATCTTAAGAGCTGTGGCAAGATAGAAATGTAGAAGAGCTAAATCATGCATGTTTCTACAAGGGGAAAAAGAAAGGTTGTGCATGGATGTTCATGGAGGTGCTCCTGGCAAGAGTATGTACTTTATTGTCGGCGAATTTTTTAGAACTGGTCTCTTATTTTTCCTCAAATTATTCTTATCATATAACCACACAATATTGTTTGAAACATTTCTTCCTTAAAAATTGAATCATATTGTAAATACTTACCGGTGTGTCATTGTGAAAAGACTAGCTTTTTATCAATATAGTAAATGCTATATATGCATTATATCTATAATTATATATCTGTATTTTACAAAAATCCCACAGAAAATATATTAAAGTGTGTATTCAAACACTTTTTACTACATTTGGAAAATTGAGAGGCTTGGGCCTTTTTTTTTTCTCTCCAACTTCAGCCAGACCAAAGGAGGTGACTCTGAGGTAAGCTCTGAAATTTGAAGACTTAATATAACAAGCTGCAACCGTCCAACCAGTCCACAGCTCTTACATGGTTCAGTTTTATCATCTGCTATTACTTGTATGCAAAGGCCATGGCAGACGTTGGGTACAAGGAGATGCTGAGACTGATAGCAGAGCTGTGAGGTATTTAATGTGGGAAGAAGGGATGGAGCAGCTTGCGAGCTCATTAGCCAGTGATGAATCCTTTCTGGTTCCTCATAGCCCAGCTCATCCCAGCTGCCAAGACCAGTTCATCTGCCCCATATCAGCCAGATCTGGGAGGTTAGTACAACCCTGTGACCAGATGCTTGAGCGGGAGCTGGACACCCTGCATATTTTCTCTCCATTGCTCTTACTTTGGTCATTCCCTCTCTGTTCTGCTTAGCCTAAATGCAAAAATCCATCTATTCCTAAGGCACAATTTACAACCTACCATCAGCTGGGTATACTGTTACTCAGCAATGAGCAACATCTCTCCTTCCAGAAATCCTGTTCTGCATAGTGGCCTTATTTCCTATTGTGTTGCAATAAATGATTCCATGTGACGTAGGGCACAGAGCCTGAAAATCTGATTACTTTAGAGACTAGGGTTTCGTAGTCACTTAACACCAGCATTGTTGCAAATGACCAGAATTAGGGCAAGAGAAGTAGGCATGAAATACTTGATCATAAATATCAGGCCTTGAGGGAGAATGAAAGCTTCTGGTTTTAATAAGAGAAGAGCCTTTTTTGGAATAGCACGATCAGACTGTGAGAGGACTCATTTCTGCTTCAACAGAGGACAACAGGAGAAACTTTAAAATCATGGACAGCGTTGGCATTAATGCTAGCAAGTCTATACCATGAACAGTTCAACAGAAGGAACTTAAGTCATCGTCAGAAGTAGCTCTCAGGTTCTTCAGGTGTATTTTTCCTGTAAAGATAATGTGTCTAGTTGTTCTGTATAGAAGTGTGTTTAAAAGTGCTGAAGAGTAGCTATCTTTAAAGGCTTTTGTACCAACTTCACATATGAAATTACTATCTTATTGCACTCTTCCAAATATGCTGACAAACTCTCATGACATTAATGTTTAAGTTCTCTTCAAAGTCCAAGTTTTAATATCAGTAATTGCAATTTATCAAAATGAGCTAATGGTTAGTTTCTGTGGGCTGACAAAATATATTGATTTGTCAGTTGAGCTCTTCATTAATCTGGTCCTCAGATTCATTGTTTTACCTTTTATTTATCACAAAGTTGTTGATATGTCAATTTAATCTAGGCAAAACTACAGGAAAATTCATGTTCTGCCTTATGTTCCACCATATTCCTCAGTTACCCAGTTAATTCAAAACACTAACACACCAAGATGACACACACTTAAGAGGTGATGAATTACTTCATTAGGAAATGACGTTTCTAGAGAATTCAACTTGCTTTAAATGCTTTTTCTCAGTGCTGTTGTGTCCAGGCTCTGAAAAGGTGTTTGTTTCCCAAAAAAAGCAGAAGTCCTATGCAGTCACCACGTATTCTTGCAAAGCAATGTTGAATTGGCCATAAAAGTGTCTCAGATAGTTTGGTGCCCAGAACCCAGGCAGAGCAGTTCCAGCAAATGAGAATCTGAATCTTCTGGACGTACTTGGAGAAAGATATGCACCTGAATTAGTGATACCTTTATCTGTTGTTTATATCAAATCTGGATCCTCTTCATCCGCAAAGGCTAAGACCTTTGTACAGTAATTTTCTAGGTCTTTCCTTGCCATACATAACCTGCTGCAGGCTGGCTGAAAGCTCATCCCTTCTTGAAATATTGCCATTGCTCCAGCTGCTCCCCTCCTTTAAGCTCTCTGGTTGCAAAAGCAGCAGACACGTTTGCAGGGGAAGACATTTATGACCCTTAAATAGTATCTCACATCGTCCACTCCACCAGAATGAACATTACACCTCCAGGAGCTGGATACATTTCCAATTTTTTCCCTTGTGGCATTGCTAAATGTTAGATATAACACCCAGGTTCCAAGACAAGCACTCGGGCTCCAATTCTGTGGCAGGGAATGGCAGGAGAAGTGGAGGGAGCACAAATGGACCCTGCAATCCCACCATACGCTTTTGAATGATCACAGGGACCGAGATGGCACCCACAATGTGCAGTTCTATCCAAATACATCTCAGTGAACCTCTCACAGGAGTCTGTAGCTTAAAATGAGATCTGACATCAAGAGCCGGTCAAGAAGGATAAAGCATGATGTGAAAATACTGGTGCTACCCAAAAGCTGGTCTATTGTGGTGAACATTAAGTGTAGCCCCAGCACAGACTTAGTAGTGACTATGCTGTGCCCTTGAGTTCATTTGGACACCACTGGGTTTAATTGGGATGCTATAATATGGAACCAAGAGAAAAATTAGAGGACATTGGAGGAAACCTGGGCTCCACTGAGGCCAGTGGTAGTGGTAGTGACTTCAGCTTTATGGTTGCCACCTTTTCCGACCCTAAGCCATCCCTCTTTTTGGTGCTGAGTGCTTTATCCACACGCAGCAGCCATAGTCATGCTGTTTTCAAGGACGTTCTTCTGGCCCTGTGTGGTGTTTTTCAGGTAGATAACTGAATTTTTGAATTTCACATGCTCTTTTTATATATTTTTTTTTAAAATTTGTGCTTCTGCAGCATTTGAGCCACAGTCTGTCTCACGCCGAAAGATAAGAGAAGGCTGGGACTCAGTGCTCCCTCCCCCAGAAGCCTCGCCGATGGATGGTGTATTCCCTTCTCCTGCAGATAATTGACTATATATTTCCCACAATGTTTTTATTGTATTTTACAAAGAAAAGTAATAAAAATGGAGGCTGTATCACAATCAAAGCAGTGTTTCCATTCCTCAGGCAATATTTTTCTCTAACCCAAAGGAAAACACCTCCCCACCCTTTCCTGGTTACTATACTCAGTATATGGTTCTCAGCAAGAAGAAAACCAGATGCCATATTTAAATGTAAGATGGCAGAAACCAGAAAACCAGAAAAAAAATGGGTCTCAACTCAGGGAAATGTTCCCGGATAGTCTTTGTATGCTTTGAAGTGCAATATGGACACGGATGTTTCCAGAGACATCCGCAAAAGACCCCTTTGATATGTCACCGAGTGGGTTGCTGTTTGGGCATGATGGATGCCTTGTTGACACAGCGTGCACGACAGGTTACCTGCCCCGCACTGGGGCAGGGTTTTGTCAGTGCCACGCAAAGACGTGCGAGCAAATGCCATTTATGTGGTTCTGTGTGACAATCCTA